ATGAAGGATTTTGGGGATTTTATTGAAAAGATTAAAAGGGTGGATTTACCAATGCTGGGCAGAAAATACACTTGGGGTAGTTCTCGGGATGAATTTAGGTGGAGCAGAATTGATAGATTTATTCTTAACCCTAAATGGCTTGAATTATTTAGATTCAAACTTTGGGGCTTACCCAGAACCTTGTCTGATCACTGCCCCATTATACTGATGGAAGATGATAGAGATTAGGGACCTAGACCCTTTAGGTTCATCAATGTTTAGACCAAGCATCCCAGCTTCTTACAGACAGTCAAGCAAAATTGGGAAAATTCTAGTTTGGAAGCCTGGGCAGGATTTATTTTAAAAAAGAAGTTGCAATTCTTAAAACTTTGCCTGAAAGTTTGTAACAAGAAAGTATTTGGTAACATCAATGAAAAACTTGAAGATAAGGAAGCTGAACTTCACTCATGGGATCTGATAGCTGAGAAAAGACCACTCCATGTCGATGAATTTGATTAAAGAAATGAGTTATTGGGAGAAGTATGGAAATTGAGAATATTGGAGGAAAAGCTCTGGCTCTAGAAATCTAGGCTCAGTTGCACAATGAAGAGTGACAAGAACACCAAGTTCTTCAATATTACTGCCACAAGTAGAAAAAATAGGAACTCACTTGACTCAATCGAGGTTAATGGGGTTTCAGTAGTGCAACATGGAGAAGTCAAAAAAGCAGTAGTGAACCATTTCAAAAATCTATATGCAAAGCATTGGAAATTAGGCCTAATTTTTTTTTTTTGGGGGGGGGGGGGCAATTTAAGTCTATTAATACCCTTAGCAATGAATCTACCAAGCTGGAAAGTGTATTCACTGAATATGAAGTTTGGCCTACCATCAAAGATTGTGATGGGAATAAAGTCCTAGGCCCTGATGGCTTCAACTTATTTTGTTTCCAAAAGTGTTGGAAAGTTATGAAGCATGACATTCTAAAGTTTATGTTGGAATTTCATGAGAATGGAATTTTAGCTGGGGGCCTCGGTTGCTCTTTTATCAATCTCATCCCCAAAAAGGAAAACCCCTTGTCTCTATCTGATTTCAGACCCATTAGCCTGATTAGCTCTGTCTATAAGACTCTTTCCAAGGTTCTTTCTCGCAGATTGAAGCATGTTTTACCTAGCATAGTAAGTGAAGCACAGTCTACCTTCCTAGGGGGCAGGAGTATTTTGGATGAAGTGCTCATTGCTAATGAGATTGTAGATTGGTGGAAAAAATCCAATACCCAATGGGTCATCATAAAGCTTGATTTTGAAAAAGCCTTTGATACTATAAATTGGGAGTTCTTTTTTGATTTGTTTATCAAGTTTGGTTTTGGTTCAAAATTGTTGGGCTGGATGAAATCCTGTTTAACAACTGCTAGCATTTCCATTCTTGTCAATGGCTCACCCACAGATGAATTTTGACCAGAAAGAGGGCTTAGACAGGGTAATCCACTCTCACCATTTCTTTTTAACATTGTTACAAACGGGTTGAATCTGCTTCTAACCAGAGCTAAGGACTTGGGCTTAATTAAAGGGGTTGTTGTTGGTCCCACTGGCTTGCACTTCACTCACCTCCAATTTGCTGATGACACCATTCTCTTTTGTGAAGCTGATTTACTAGAGATCACAACCTTGAAGAAAATACTTCAGTGCTTCGAAATTATGTCAGGGCTAAAAAAAAAATTCCACAAAAGTACAGTTTGTGGTGTTGGTGTCTCTGAGACTTTAATCAATATTTTTTCATCCACATTGAATTGCCTTAATCAAAAGTTACCTTTAAAGTATCTTGGGCTTCCTTTTGCTGCCAATCCTATAAGGAAAGCCACTTGGAAACCAATTTTGGACAAATTTAAGAGCAAACTCTCAGGATGGAAGAAGAGACTTTTATCATTTGCTGATAGACTCACCCTTATCAAATCCACATTATCTAGCTTTCCAATTTTCTACCTCTCCTTGTTTAAAATGCCAAAATGTGTAATCAAAGAGGTGGATAAAATTCAAACTTCTTTCTTGTGGAGTGATTCAGATGTCAAAAGAAAGGTACACCTGATTAGTTAGAAGGATGTTTCATTGACAAAGAAGCAAAGAAGTTTAGGTGTAAGAAGTTTGGGTCAAGTCAATGTTTGCCTTCTTGCTAAATGGTGGCAGAGGTTCTGTAATGAAAAGCAAGTTCTTTAAAGAAGATTAATTTGCAGCAAGTATAGTTCCAGAGCAGGTAGTTGGTTCCATTCTCAAGGCACTATTACTATTTGCTCATGGATTTGGAAGGACATTATGGGCCTTGCTTCATAAAATCCTGCTTTATTCAATTTCTTTTTGACTAATACAGAATTAGTTATTGGTAATGTGGCCAGCATATCTTTCTGGAAGGATATCTGGATGGGAACTGACTGCCTTTAGTCTAAATTTTCTGGACTTTTTAGTCTTTCTTCTGATAAGAATGGATCTTTGTTAGAATTCATTGTTAGGAAATCTAGCTCTTCTAACTGGAATTTCATTTTTATGAGACCTCTGTTAACCTAGAAAAATGAATCAGTTCATAATATGCAAGTTTTATTGGGAGATGGGCCATCATTAAGGAATGGAATGGAGGATAGAATGAGATGGAAAACTTCATCTCAGGGTGTCTTCAAAGCAAAGGATTTGTTTTACTGGTGGCAGTCCAACAGAGATCTTGATCTGTTTATACCCAGATTCATTTGGAACATCTCACTACCAAAAGTCCAATTCTTCTCTTGGCTAGTTTAGAAAGGTCGAGTAAAAACATCTGTGTTCCTTCATCATATTGGTGTTCTCAGAGGGAAAGATGTCACTCAGTGTATCTTTTGCAAATCTGACTCGAAAACCATTACTCATGTTTTGTTTCTTTGCCCCTTTAGCTGAAAATTTTGGTCTGTTATCACTGATTGGAGGGATCTTTTTTGGGTTTGCCCTGGCTCTGTTGTGGATTTGTTTGATTAGTGGCTTGGCACAAAAATTAAGAAGAAAGAATTACAGATATGGAAAGTCATCCCACTTACTGTTGTTTGGTCAATTTGGAAGCTCAAGAATGATTGTGTTTTCAACAGTGCCTAGCCCAACTTCTTGGAGATCATTGAGCTTATTAAGGTTAGAATCGCAGTTTGGTTGAAATGCCACTCTTATGGTAATTCATATTCCGTCCATGATTTTGTCTCTAATCTGAATGAGATCAGGCTGTGTATTTGATGTTTAGCTGGTAATGCTGCTGTTGTTCTATTATTCTACTGATGAGTTTTATTTTACTGCTGCAACTGTTGTTGTTATTGGTATTGATGTTCTGCTTAGCTGATGTTCATTTTGCTAGTGCTGCTGTTCTGTTGCTTGGTGCTGCTGATGTTAAACTTGCTGTTGGTTTGTTGCTGATCATATGCTAGTTGTCCTCTAGTTGCATAAAGATGCACTTCTTAATATTTAGTCCTCTGGTTGATGCTGCTGGAGTGTATATCTGTCATCAGTGCATGCTGCTGCTGTATTGGAGTCTTAATGACTTGGAGCTGTATTTTGCACTGGTTTGCTTTGTGAGTGAAACAGTGGAGGTGTCATGGTCTGAGATGGAGTTGTGTTCTATTTTGCTGAGATCTGCTGTGATCTGTTTTTGCACTGGTTTGTCATCTTAGCTTTGCTTGTTTCCTCTTTGGTTGGTTTCTCACCAACCTGTTGGCTTGAGCTAGAAGATGATTGTGCATTTTCCTTGGTGTCAACCTAGTTGAGATTATGGAGGTTTGCAATGATGCTTTTTGCTCTTGTCTTCCCCCTTTGTTGATGTATACCAAGATTTATTTTTGTTATGTTATCATCAATAAAGAGTTTTTTTGCTAATCAAAAAAAAAACATTGAATAGGAAAGATGACAAAGGATCACCCTATCTTAAACCCCTTTACGAATGGAATTCAGGAGTTGGTGATCCATTGACCAGGACTGAAATCTTAGCATAAGACACGAAGGCTCTAATCGATATATCGCCAAAACCAAAATTAGAGAGCATGGAAAATAAGAATTCCCAATTAACGGAGTCAAATGCTTTTTCAAAATCTAATTTGAGAATTAGGCCTTTACTTTTTGATTTTCTCCACTCATCAACGATCTCATTTCACTACAAAAATTTCAATTTTTTGCGACCGCAAAATGCCGTTGCTAATACTCCTAATGCCGTCTCAAAAAACTTTTAGCGACGGCAAATGGAGGGTCACAACAGAGGGCGTTGCTAAAACGTTTTAGCAATGACACCTTTTTTTTGTGACGGCAAATGTTGCCTTTTGCGACGGCATTTTACTATCGCCTATAATATGTAAAAAATTGAGATCTTCTGCGACGACAATGTTGTATCGTCGCTAAAAATTTTATTTGAGACGACAAAAAACTTGCTTTTGCGAAATGTTTTTTTGTCGCGACGGCATGACCCATGTCGCCAATTTCTTTTGTAACGGCATTACTTTGTCGCCAAAAAAAATACATTTTAGTTCTAATATTTTTTGCGATGGTATGGTGTTGTCGCAAAAAAAATAATAATAATAATAAAAAAATAATAAAAATATTAAAATTACCTGTATTAAATGAAAAGAAAAATCAAAAAAGAAACCAATAATTGCATAATAATATAAAAATTCCTGTATAGAAATAACAATTTCTCCATAATAAAAATATTATTGCATTCATAACTACACATCCGCAAAATTACCCCACTGCATAATATTCCATAATGCATATATAATGTTTAAATATATAATGCTGTTCACAATTCAAAATAACATAAATTAAAAACAAAAGTTTTCCTAATCATTCTCCATGAGTAACAAAAACAAAAGTTAGTCGCATTCTTCACAAGCATGCATTCCACAAGAAGAAAACTCCTACTCAAAAAATATCTGAAAACAAAAAACAAAAATAATTAATGACATGTGTTAATATGTTAATTACAAAAAAAATAAAAATTTAACTACTATACAATTACAAAGATAATTAAGTAAATAATTTTGCCTAAACCGAAATTCGGCTCTAACTCCCAAACCGGGAACCCGATTTGAGTCCCGTATTCTCCCACAAGTCTCTCGTGCCAAGGCGGTCGTGTGTGCCAAGTTTCATGCTAATCCGACGCAGTTTGGAAATTTCGGGGTGTCAACACTTCAAATTTTAAGTTTCTTAAGAAACTAATTTGCCTAGGCTGAAATCTGGCTCTGACTCCCAAACCGGAAACCTGATTCAAGTCCCATCTTCTTCCACAAGTCTCTCGTGCCTAGGCGGTCATGTGCGCCAAGTTTCGTGTTAATCCGATGCCGTTTTGTCATTTTGGGGCGTCAACATCTCAAATTCTAAGTTTCTTAAAGAACTAGTTTGCCTAGACCAAAATCTGGCTCTAACTCCCAAACTGGGAACCCGATTCCAGTCCCATCTTCTCCCACAAGTCTCTCGTGCCAAGGAAGTTGCGTGTGCTAAGTTTTGTGCTGATTTGACATTGTTTGGTAATTTTGGAGCGTTAACACCTCGAATAAAGTTTCTTAAGGAACTAATTTGCCTAGACCGAAATTCGACTATAACTCCCAAACTGAGAACTCGATTTGAGTCCCGTCTTCTTCCACAAGTCTCTCGTGTCTAGGAGGTTGTGTGTGCCAAGTTTCGTGTTACAATAAAACCCAGAGCTCCTCAATGTTAGTTTGGAAGAATCAGCCCAAAGTACTCAAAATCAGAAAAAAGAAAATAAAAAAATAAAAATAAAAATCTTATAAACCACTTAGAGGCTTCTCCATCAATGATAGTTGCAACATGATATCGTCTCACAAATAGGATAGTGGTTTGGTTTTGATTTGAACTGGTTTGAAACATTTATCTTGAGTATTAATATATGAATACATTCAAACATTGGAAGACCTAACCAGATTAGCATGAATAAGTGAAGAATACACATCAATTGATCCAATTTTGAAATTCAATGCTAAGAATGGGAAGGAACTATTATGTAACTCACATTCACACTCCATTTTCTTGTTCAAAAACATGAATTATTTTGGAAATTAGTTGTACAAAAGCTTAAGTTTTCTAATCAACAACACAAATCCTTATTTCCATGTAAGGGTTATCTGTTTGAATTCCTGTATAAAGTATGCAGTGTTCATTAACACTAAAAAGCTAAAGCTAGAGGCTAGAAATTTTCATTAACAATCCCAACCAAAATGCATATTATTTAGGCCAACTCTCAAGTTCCAATATATATATATATATATATGTGCTCAAAATAATTGAATTGCATCAAATGAAAATGCAAAAAAGATGGGAAATTTAGCTGACACAAATTTCTGACACAATCAGCTTTCTCTTTGGTGAATCTGATGGTGCATCTTTTTGGCAAAGAAAATTATTTCCTGCATATGCAAGTGAACTTCAAATGAATATTTCTATTCTCGAATTTTATTACAATGAATACAGAGAGAGAGAGAGAGAGAGAGAGAGAGAGAGAGAACAACACATGTTCATTTACGTTGTATGATATGATCTACCAAATGCTGATCAATAATAACAGATTCAAATCATCTGTGGCATTATGATTTTCATTAATAAGAAAATCAAGAATTCTAATAGCATAGTTTTAAATTTTTTACTCGATGAAAACTCAACAAAAGGAAGTAATTGAATCATATATAGGTGAAGCATGATGACAAATTAATCAAAATCAACAATGAAAATTACTTTGCTCTACTATAAATATGCATATGCTTAAGGCAGAGTTTTTTTAGTAGGTATCGTGAACTTAATCATTTCATGGGAGAAATAAACAAATCGATCTGCTAACTTTTCTATAATTAGAGAAGCAAAAAAATTGAAATTTGGAATATGGCAGCTATTTGAACAAAGCTTGTGATATGATATATCATATTACGAAAATAAAAATATTATAAATTGAAAAATAATAATAGCTAAGTTGGAATTGGACTGTAAAGCTATAAAATTATTTCAGCATCAATGTTTAGTTGGTGCCACATTCATCATGATTTAATTGTATTGTCAAAAATTAGCTAATGTGATGAATTATAGTTTCAACGGCATTGATGGAAAGATATGTGCTATAGTATCTTGAAAAAAAGATCTTCAAAAGCAATATTTTCTTTGGTAAGCTAAAGTGAGCATGGCTGAACACGATAACTTCTTTAAATTCTGATTAAGGAAACAAATATATCAACATTCAAAAAACAAACAGAAAAGAATGTAGAAAGAAAATGTGTTGCTTTTGATCATGATTAAATACTCTAAACATCTCTGTGGCAAGCAGAGGAAAAAGCATTTATGGTTTTTCCTGATTCAATTTAGTAAATGCCCATTATGTTTTGTTCTTCCATGGACTCATTTATTTCATGTTTTGTACAAATTCCTTATATTTAAACTCCTAACTCAAACCCAGTTGGTTTTTACTATATTCATGTCTCAACTACTAGAAACCCCAAATAAATACTGATATTTCAATAGGACGCTAAATGTTTAAAACCCCAACTGTGACATTAACTCATTATCTACCAATATTATATCCTTTTCCATTGGCAACACATAATCAATACTCCATTTAAACTAACATAACTTATTTCCATTTAAAGCCTTAAAAATAAACCAATAAAAATCAGATAATATGAAAATTTGAGACCCCCCCCCAGCTATAATTAGTCCTTATTATTTGAGTTTCTAGAGCATAAAATGTAAAACCCTTTCAAAAAATTGAACTTCTAGAAGAAGAAAAAAAAACCCATATACGAAAAAAACAATTGGAATTACAAAGGAAATGATTACCACTCAACACGAACCCATAAATCAAAACAAATTAATGAGTACAAATAATGAAATATACTGAAAGACTGGACAAAGAAAAATTAAAACACATATTGAGAGTGAGATAGAGAGAGAGAGAGATGAGAAGGAAGAAATACCTGTTGAGAAATTTCATTTTGCAGAGATGGTCTTGGTTTCATTGTTGAAGGTGGGTCCTGAGAAGCAGATACTTTTTTTTGAAGGTTGGTTTCATTGTTGAAGGTAGGCCTTAAAACACATATATAACATGCTGCTTTTTTGTTCGGATACTTTTTTTTTTTTTTGGTTCATAACATTTGTTTGGTGTTTTAGTGGGTGCCTTAGTTAGGTCCCCAAAGTGAAATCATCTTCACCTGATGTTCTAGAATTATTATGAATCATTTGATCAACACATAAAACAGAGAGGAAAAATAAGCAGAGCATTTTTTTTTCAGAAAAATAAGCAGTAAAAAAAAAAACTCAGATTTGAAAAAAAAAAATTATAGCAATTTTCAAAACTCATATTTGAATATATCTCTTCAAAATCCATTACAAAACTCAGATTTTAATAAGATTGAAAACTCTTTACAAACCATGTGTCCAATACAAGGAAAAAAATATATATCTTCTCTTTCCAGCCCTAGAAAACACAAAAACACCAAATCAAAAAACAAAAGGTCCAAATCTAGAGACCCATTTCGTCAAAAAAACATTACAAAGAAACCCAAAACAGAGAATAAGGGAAAAAGACAATAGAAAGAGAGCAAAGAAAAAGCACGTACCAAATCGGCAAGCAGAGAAGATGCGACGGCAATGGCGATCGACGTGGTGGAGGAGCAAGAGGTGAGACAAATGTTGGTTACCAATCAGTGAATACGATGGGGTGTTTAGAGCAGTTAGGGTTTAATTTGAGGATTTTTTATTTAGGGATTGGGGATTTGAGATCGTGAGAAACAAAAGAGGGAAAAGAATGGGGGGAATTCGGATAGTACAGGAAAACGAAAACAAAAAGAAGAAAAGAAGAGGAAAGTTAGGATATGCGGTGTGAACCACGTCATTTGGACAAAATGTTTAAAATATAAACTAAAAAACATGTTTGTCCAGGCTTAAAATATTTGTATTTTTTTATTATTATCTATGACAATGGGATCATATACATTATAACTGGAAAAAAAAATTAATTGAAAAAAAAATTGATTGGAAAAAAATTAATTGAAAAAAAATTAATTAAAAAAATTTTTGTTAGTCAAATTTTTAAATTTTTGTTTAAAAACCAAAGTAAACTCATTTTTTGAGTTTACAATTTTTTCTCAAATTTATAAATTGAGACAACCATTTGTAAACAAAAAAAAATTATCAAACAAGTTTTTATGACAGTTTTGTAAATTTTTTGTAAATATAAAATGAAAACTGAAAACGAAATGGTTACCAAACAAACTCTAAACAATGAATCTATGGCTCGTTTCGTAATTTTTTTATTTGCGACGAGAGTATTGCTGTCGCCGATAACCTGTATTTGCGACGAGGAAGATTGCCGTAGCAAAAAAAAAAACTCATTTTTTTGCCAAAACCTTCGTGTTCATTTTGCTGCGCAATGAAAGCTAAAAAGAGAAAGAAACAGAAAATGAGAGAGAAACAAAAGATGATCAGGAAGAGAAAGAGAAAGAGAAAAAAAAAGATGAACGAGAGAGATATAGAGAGAGACATAAAAAAAGAGAAGAGAGATGAGCAAGAGAGATAGAGAGAGATAAGAGAGATTGAGATGAGAGATGAGAAAATCGATGTGATTCCCCACAAGTAAATCAATCAAATCTTCCAATTAACAGAGAACAAAAGAAGAGAGATGAGCGAAAGACACAGAGAGAAAGAGACGAAGAGAGAGAACCATTTCATTTTTTGACTTTTTTCTTTTTCAACAACAATGGGCTCAGAGAAAAAGATGAGTGTGATTGAGAGAAATGAATGATTGAGAGAGAAGAGAGATAAGTGAGAGAGAGAGAGAGAGACACACACACACACATACACACAGAAAGACAGAAAAAAGAGATGAACAAGAGAGAGTGAGAGAGAATAAAGATGAGTAAGAGAGATGAGAGAGCCAGAGAGAAGAGTAATGAGTGAAGGAGAGAGAGACACATAGAGAGAGAGAGAGAGATAAAAAAAGAGAGAAACAAGGTGAACGAGAGATAGACAGAGAGAGAGAGAGAGACAACAAAAAGAGATGAACAAGAGATATAGAGGGAGACATAGAAAGAAAGAGAGAAAAAAGATAAGCAAGAGAGATAGAGAGCGGAGAGAGATGAGAGAGCCAGAGAGAAGAGTAATGAGTGAGAGAGATGAGAGATAAAGAGAGAGAGAGAGAAGAGAGAAGAGGGAGAGAGAGAGAGGCCTATTTCATTTTTTGACTTTTTTTCTTTCGATAAGTGATTAAGAGAAATGAGAGATGAGCAATTGAAAGAAGAGAGAGAGAGAAAGAGATCGATAAATCGAGAAGATGGGAGAGAGAGTGTGAGCAATACGAGCACAATATGGAAGAGAGAGAGAAGGGGGAAAGAGAGAGAAAGAGAGAGAGTGATGAGTGAGAAAAAGAAAGAGAAAGAGAAAGAGAAAAGAGATGAGTGAAAGAGAGATGAGATAGAGAGAGACATGAAGATGAAAAAATGGGTGAAACACTACAAAAATTTCAATTTTTTGTGACGGCAAAATGTCGTCGCTAATACTTCTAATGTCGTCTCATCAAAACAGTCTTTTTTTTTTTTTGGGTTTGCGACTGCAGTTCATGCCGTCACAAAAAACAACTTTGTTTGTGACAGCATAGGTTACCGTCGCAAAAAAATCGCATTATTTGCGACAATTGTTATTCCCGTCGCAAAAAAGTTACTTTTTTGTAACAAGAATGGGTACCATCGCTAAAAACCCATTTATTGGTGATAGCAAGTGATGCCGTCGCAAAAAATCACTTTTTGCGACGATAAGTGATGCCGTTGCAAATGCTTCCGTGTTATAAAGCCCCTTTTCTTGTAGTGTTTGCAATCGAAACCCCATCAAGTATGTTTCGACCATCCACAAAAACTGACTGAACCTCACCAATGATCATAGGGATAACCTTGTAGAAGAAGCATTCAATTGACAAAAAGATAAGATCAACCTATGGTAATCAACTCCTCAACCAAACACTCTTCACTTTAAATTCGTATATATCAAATACATATAGACCCATACATAGATAAAGACACATATACTTACATATGCAATCAAGTTCCAGATGTGTATGTATATATATACGCTTGTAGACTATCAAAACATGTCATCGGTGCTTGAGAATTTTTCAAAGTAGTGCAATTTGAAGTTAGTGTTGTGTCAATAGAATTTATCTTTTTGAATGGATTTGTTTATTATTTGGGTATACCACAAATTATGATTTAAATTTTAAAAGATAATTTGTGAAAAAATATAGATGTACTAAGAGTACTGAGAAATTAAACGTACTGAATAATTTTTTAGGTACAAATATAATCCCATTTTTCACTTTGATGAATTATTAAAATCGGTCTAAGTCCAAACCTTGGGCCTTGAAGGATAACTTTGACCCATTGGGTTTGTTAGTATCACGATGTAACTCTTTTCCATTTCAATTTTTTTTTTTTTTTTTTTGGATATAAATAAATTTTGTCAATCATTAAGGTTAATTACAAATAATCACATCAAAATATCCAACCATATAAAAAATTGAACACCACAGGTCACACGAATGCATAAAGCACAATAAAGAATCAAAACAATCATAATAATCCAAATAATAATATTGTCAATTAAATGTTACTGGATTACATGAGTATCAACCATATCTTCCTGATATTGACCCCCAAAAAATCCCTTGTTGTAGGGTGATTTTAAATTTCAGATGAACATCTAGTTAGTGAAAAAGTCTATGAAACCAAACATAAGTCTATGAAACCAAACATAATCCAAAAAATTATCTAAAATTTTAGTTGTAGGATGTAGATTTATTCTTCTTGTTATGGGTCAGGAAGGTTAGCGTAGATGTCAAATATGATTTCTTTTTATCTGGACATGTAGACTTATTGTGCACGGGAACAAAAACTTGAAAACAGTGTCCATGAAAGAACATGAACATGAATTCTTCTTGAAATTATTGTTGTTGTTCGTGGTGGTGGTGGTGGTGGTGGTGTTCTTCAACTTCAACTTCTTCATCTTCTCCTGAAGCCACTTAACGGTCCTCTGCGAAACAGTTAGTTTCTTGCTAAAGGGGTAACTTGTCAGAAATATATGTCGTTTTAGAACGTAATCATTGGCAGTGCTCTGCTCACAGTTAATGGGAATGCTATGATCATGAGTATGAGTAGGCCTAGGCAGAGAAGAAGATGATGACAACGAAGTATTATAATTGTTTATGATGAAAGTTCTCAAGAATTCTTTTTCTGCTACTGGCCATTGATTCAGCTTCTTAATTCTTTTCTCCTCTGGTGATTGCCCATCTAAAGACCCCGCCATACAACTTGAGTTCATCTTCATCTCTTTCCTTCTTTGCTCTTTCTATCCTTCTTCTGTCTTTGCTCTCTTCTTCTTTTTTTTTTCTTTTTTTTTTTTACTTCTACTATCTATATATATATATAGTCAGCTATGTGACCAAACCAAATCCAAAACAAAAAGCGAATGAGAGTCCTAATTGATCAGGGTTTCATTTGAGTATCCTACTCTCATGACAATACGATATATATTTCCACAACTTATTTAGAAAAGTATACTTATATACATTACATTACGTAAACATCACTTTTGGATATTTTTCCGAGATAAAAATTCTAGACAAGTAATAATTAGTGTGTTTAGTTTTAGTTTTCTGAAAATTAAGTTTTTATTTTTCGTGTTTTTTGTTTTAATGAATATTTTTAAAATTTTAAGCAATTTTTTTATTTTTTTAGATATATGAGAGGGTGATTTATGATCCGGTGTTGGGCCGGGGTATCGACCGGGCAAGCTGAGGGCCCAGCAGTGCATTGGGCCGAGATGATCAACTGTTCACCCGGAGATGGGCTACCAGAACTTGGGCCGGGCAAGGTTTGGACTGAGTGCCGCCCCGGACCGTGCAGAAGTTGCTCGGTCGGGAAGTGACCGGTCAGACCAGGATGCTTGGTCCGAGGATGGTCGAAACCAGACAGACCGAGAGACCGGCGCTCGTAAAGGCGCGGTCAGCCGAGGTAGTTGATTGACCGGCGAGAAGGCCGATCAAAGTAAGCATCCGGGCTAGGCTCGGCCGGGATGCCGCTTAGCCCGGTCCACCGTTTGTTTATCCAGTTAGGCGCTTAAGGTATGAAGCATGGTACGACCGAGGTAGGGCAGCTCGGCTGCCGAGCACCAGTTGTGCTGGCAGGCAGTTGAGAGCAGGTGATGAATGGCATGGTTTATGCTGACAGATGGGATAGCAGAGCCACATGTCAGGAGATGACAGGGAGTGGATATGGGGCTCAGAAGGTATATAAGCATGTCTGCGCCCCCCATACGCAACAGACGAACATCTCTGTAAGGACTTCTTACACTCAAACACTCTCTCTCTTCTCTCTATCCATCCTAAGGTGTGTGCTAACTTGATCGTCGGAGGGTTTTTCCGGCCACACACCGCTGGGTAGCTCACCGTTACTTGCTCACAGGTGATCGGACATCGACGGAGCTTGGAAGAAAGGAGTACGGGCTCGCCGGAAACAAGTAATAATTAGTGTGTTTAGTTTTAGTTTTCTGAAAATTAAGTTTTTATTTTTCGTGTTTTTTGTTTTAATGAATATTTTTAAAATTTTAAGCAATTTTTTTATTTTTTTAGATATACATTACTTAGATGTATCTAAATAATAAAATATTTTTGAAAACAAATTTTAAAAAATTATTAAATATACAAAAATATGAAAAATGTACTGAATTTTTATTTTTTATTTTTTGTATTTTTTATATTCAGTGAATTTTTTAAAGGTTTTTTTTCACAAATATTATACTTTTTAATTGTATTTATATTAGGTGTGTCTA